CTTCCTTCCTTGTGGTAGTGGCACAAGGTCCCCATGTATTATTCTTATGAAGGGCTTCAATTTCTTCTTGCATCGCCATCATCCACAGTGAAGCATCTGAGTTGTTTATTGCCTCCTGGTATGTTAATGGCTCACAGTCCTCTGTTAAAATGCAGTATGCAATATATCTTCTATAACATAATCTGAGTGCCAATTGGAACGTCTTGTCACACGATCTGATTGATGAGTTGTTGGAGCTTCAGAACTCTCTGGTTCTTGTTCATCATGTGTTGGTTCTGCTTCAGAAGAATCTCTTTGTTCAAACTCTTTTTCCACATGTATCTGCGTAGTCTCTGACTTTTCAGCGCTACCATCTTCTTCTTTTCTTTGTAGCTTATCTTCTACAAAGATAACATCCCTGCTAATGATCACTTTGCGGACAGTGGGATCCCACAAGCGATACCCCTTCCATTAGCATACCCCAAGAATTTGCATTTCCTGGATTTTGGATCCAACTTTGAAATTTCTTGGGAGTTGTACATCACGTACACTATACTTCCAAATACATGGAGGTTTGAATAATCAGCTGGTTTACCAGTCCACATCTCCATTGGTGTCTTCAGCTCTATTGCAGTTGATGGAGCTCGATTCACCAAATAACAGGCGGTATTGACTGCTTTTGCCCAAAATGATTTTTCTAGGCCTGCATCCCTCAACATTGCTCTTGTTTTTTCTAACAATGTTTGTTCATCCGCTCTGCCACTCCATTTTGTTGAGGAGTGTTCGCCACTGTGGACTGTCTTTTAATGCCTTCTTTCCTGCAAAAGTCATCAAATTCTTCATTTGTGTATTCTCCTCCATTATCTGTTCTGAAACACTTGATCTTATTTCCAGAATTAAGTTCCACCCGCGCTTTGAAATTTTTGAAAGTTGAAAACACGTCTGACTTCTTCTTAATAGGGTGCACCCAACATCTCCTGGAGTAGTCATCAATAAATGAGATAAAGTATTTTGCTCCACCTAGGGACGTTACTGGTGCTTGCCATACGTCAGAATGAACCAATTCTAGAACACTTTTGCCTCTAGAATTTGATGTGTTGAATTTCAACCGGTGCTGCTTACTTGTTATGCAATGCTCACACAAAGTAAGTGATACCTTTGTTAAGCCTGGAAGTAGCTTTTACTCCACAAGGACTTTCATTCCTTGTTCTGACATGTGTCCAAGTTTCTTATGCCATAGCATTACAGAATCTGAACTACATGAGGCAAAAGAGGCTTCTGCTTCTAACAATGTCTTTCCCTTCAGCATGTACAAGTTTGTAGCTATCTTTTCACCTTTCAGCACCACAAGCGCTCCACGGAACACTTTCATGATTCCTTTCCGTGTTTCAATCTTGCTAGCATTATTATCCAACAATCCGTAGGATAATAAATTTTTCTTCAGGCTTTTTACGTGCCGCACATCTCGAACAACTTTGATTGTTCTATCGTACATCTCCAATTTGATGGTTCCCACGCCAACGATCTCTAAGGCATGATCATTGCAACTATACACAGATCCTCCTGAGACAGGTTCATAATGATGGAACCATTCTCTTCTTTAGGTCATGTGATATGTTGTTCCCGAATCAATGAGCCATATATCTGCAAATCGTTTTCTTCCTTCCACGGTGGTTGACACTTCACAGCATAGAGCATCTCCATCATCTGAAGTGTTTGCGGTATTGCCTTGTAGATTAGAGTTTTTATTTAGACTCCAACAATCCTTCTTCAAGTGACCATTCTTTCCACAGTTGTAACACTTTAAATTCTTCTTGCTTCTCGACTTCGATCTATCATGTTTGTGACTGCTGTTTTGACCACGTTCTGTTGATCTCCCTCTCATCGTTGTCATTGTTGTCAACGCTTCTGCTTGTTGCAGATTTACTTGTCTGTCTTCCTTGTTCTTGCGCTGATTTTCTTCTTGTAGAACAGCAACTGCAACGTCATTGAAGACTAGACTTGTGACATTACTGTTTGTCAAGTTGATGATGAGTTGATCATACGAATCCGGTAGACTTTGAAGTAGAATTTCAACACGTTCTTGTTTTCTTATTTTACAGCTTAAAGATGTAAGCTGAGAAAATAAAGTGTTCAGTGTATTTAAGTGCTCCGTCACTGAAGTAGATTCTGGCATACGTAGAGTGTACAATTTTCTCTTAAGGAAAATTTTATTGTGCAACGATGTGGCCTCGTACAGTTTGGTGAGATGATCTTATATCTCCTTAACTGTCTTTTTTTCCTCGATGCTTAACAATACTTCATCTGCTAATGCTAGATGAAAGTTTGTCATAGCATTCCCGTCCATCTCGATCTATTTGTTGTCATCTGTGAAATCTACCGGCCTTTCACTGATAGATGCTAGACACCCGTCTTTCCTCAGGATGACCTTCATCTTCAATTTCCACAATGAGAAATTTCTCTCATTGAATTTTTCAATATCAAATTTCTTTGCCATAGCTTCTTTTACAGATAGCTCCCACTATTTCACTATCGTGAATAGTTCTCTGGAACCTTCAAAGAATGGGTAATAACTTCTTATTTTCTTATGTTGGATGATCCACCTTTTGGTGGCAACCACAAAGACAATAAGCAAATATTACACACTCTAATCTAGCTATGATACCAATTGTTGCGGAAGACGGCTATCGGATAGAGCAAAATCGCAACTGATAATTTGAGAAAATAAAAATAAAGATAAAAGAGACACAAAATTTACGTGGAAAACTCCTAAAAATTTAGAGTAAAAACAACGGGCAACAGTAGAAGAATTTCACTATGAGAAAATATAAATTACAACCTCTCTCGACCTACCAAGGAGAAAACAATGATAATTCTCTCTAGATAAAAAGGAGAAAACAACTCTCAAGAAACTCTCTAAAATCTCTCTAGTATTGGAAGAAAATTAGAATGCTTTGGGATGATTTTAAAACTAAATGAGCTAAGGTATTTATAGTTGAAGCTCTAAAGACTAATTTGTAAATACATTAAATTATAATGACTAAAATTATAATTTTACTATTGTCCAAAATTCAACAAAAACCCAATCTTTTTGACAAATTTTTTCGGTGAAATTTTTTATTAGCATCTTTCGGTGCTTGCCAAGACCTTTCAACAAGATCCCGACATTCCATCATCACGGCGCTCAGCACAAGGTTTCCAAGAGGTAGTTGCAGATATAGGATTCTCCCAAAGTGAAGGATTCTCCTTAACCTAAAACCCAAGAAACGCAGTTTACAAATAGCTCGGGCCGCTGTTACAACAAGTAAGAGAAACAACAACTAGAACAAGATCCATAAGAAACTTACATGCGGACAGTGAAGAACAATTCCATATTTTTTACACAAATACGGGGAAGTCTACAAATGGATTGACAGAAAAATTAGAATTAGTGACACAAAAACCAAATCCAAAAAAAGGCTGGCCTCGCAATTTCCATAAAAATAAGCTAAACTTTACTTTTACTTAACCAGCTAGTTCACTCCATAGATAATGCTATTTTTAAAAAATGAGAATAATATAAAATTATAATCAGACATAAAAAAGGGTAAAGAATCTAGGAAAATGGATTAATTAGCGAGTAATTTCAACAATTTAAAAACAAAGTGAACCAGTTCCTTACTAATCGCCGTAAGATCGAGAAAACGGATATCAATCCAGCAACGGCTACGAGAAGGAGCAAGAAAAGCGAGATCCCGAAGGAGTGTTGAGAAAACCTAGGATCATCGTTAACGAAAGGAAAAAAATGAGTGAATTTGAAACCAAAACGAACGGTCGCGATCTCGTGAAGCATGGCGAGGATGATCATCGTCATCGTCGACATCTTGAGGGATGTGATCGTGAATGAGAGGAGAAGCGTCCTCGTCGCGTTTCATCGGAGAAGAGGCTCGGCTCCCGAGCGAGCTGCCCGAGTGCCTCAGCTCAACCATGGCTCACTTCGGACTGTAAGCCAGCTTTAGAGAGCTCGGCCTATGCTTCTTCGACTCGGGTTTTCGCGGCTTGTGGTGGCGGTGAATTGTGATTATGGTAAGCTAAAGCGACTGAGAAATGAAAGTTCTTTGAAAGTCCACATGTGAAGTGTCCAAAGTTCAACTTAACCTGGCTGAAAACACCTTCATTTACAAGGGTGTTTTCGTCTTTTTGGTTATTGTTGAAAATCAAGGGTTTAAATATACTACCATTTAGCGAGGGTGTCTAAGTTACTATTAGTGGCTGATATGATATACATACTTAGCAAGGGTGTTTTCGTCTTTTTGGTTCTTGTTGAAAATCTAAGGTTTAAATATACTACCATTTAGCAAGGGTGTCCAAGTTACTAAAATAAATAAAATGAGCTCAATTGATAACTTGAGTTATGGACTAAATAATTTAGACAGAGCATTATAGAAATTTCTTTTTAGATGGATTTTTAATTAAATATTTTTTATTTTAATATTAAATTTCAAATTATTTGATTTTATTTAAAGATCATAACGTTCATTAAGGGTGCCCATAATCAAATATCTAATAAAATATGTACTTACACTTTTAGATAATTAAAAATGTAATCAATATATCAGTCCACGAAGATCGAATACCTTACTTAAATAACCAGATAAAACCAAAAGGTTTATCTCATCATTTTTTATTAATTATGCATGACCTAAATCATATATTCGTAGATAAAATCAAAAAACATAATTTATCTCATTGATTATAAGTTTTTATTGGTTCAAAATCAAACCTTACATCTCTATATGTATAAAATAAAATAAAATAAAATAAAATACATAATTTATCAGGTTGGGTCAACTACCATTTAATCAAATATTTATTAACAATATTATATTTCATCATGCTAAACGAAGAGTTAAGAGGATATAACAACTCATTAAATCTAGAAAACTCCTTCCTTATAAACAATAAACCCAAACAACTTATTGGGCCCCCAAAATAATCGACGCCCATTTACCCCTACACCTAGCTGCTCCCTTTGCATTCTCCTCTCTAGCCGAACTCTTTTGATTCGTATATTCTTATTAAAGCCAATGCTCCTCTCGTGTCGATTCTGATCGGGTTGTAACCCATTCAAGTCCATCTGATATGCATTTGTATCTGATATGTATCACGTTCTTGGCACGCCCCGCCTAATATACCGTGCCCACATCTCAAGGCTCGTTAAGAACGGCCTCATCGACCAAGCCATCAACCTGTTCGACGAAATGACTCAATCAGATTGCCGGGTCTTCGGCATCGACTATAACCGTTTCATTGGCGTCCTCATTCGTCATTCCCGTTTCGACTTAGCTGAATACTACTACTTCCAAATGTTCCCTCAGGGTTTCTCTTTAACCCCCTTCACCTACTCTCGTTTTATATCCGGTTTGTGCTCCGTGAAGAACTTGAATCTGGTTCAGCTTCTTTTGGATGACATGGATAAATTGAATTACGTTCCTGATATTTGGGCTTTTAACATCTATTTGAATCTTTTGTTTAGAGAGAAAAAGGTAGAGTTAGCTTTAGATGTTTTTTGTAGCATGGATAAGAAAGGGAGAGACCCGGATGTTGTAACGTATACAATAATGATCGATGGGATGTGTAAAGCGGGTAAGCTTGATAATGCGGTTGGTTTTTGGAGGGAAATGATTGGGAAAGGTTTTAAACCTGATAATAAAGCTTGTTGTGCGCTTGTCGTTTCATTGTGCGAAGGTCGGAAGGTTGATTTGGCGTATGAACTTGTTATTGAGGTGATTAAAGGTGGAAATATCAAGTTTAGTTCATTGCTCTACAATGCACTGATTAATGGGTTCTGTAGAATGAAGAGAATCGATAAGGCACAGGCGATAAAGCTGTTTATGACGAATAATGGGTGTGAGCCGGATTTGGCTACATATAATATTTTGTTGAATTATTGTTGTAATGAGCTTATGTTGGAGGAGGCTGAGAAGTTGATGAAGAAAATGGAGAGGAGCGGGATAGGACCTGATGTGTATAGTTATAACCAGATGATTAAGGGTCTTTGTAATGCTAATAGGCTGGATAAAGCATACTTATTGATGGTGAACAAGATGGAGGTGAATGGGTTGGTTGATGCTGTTTCTTATAATACCATTATCAAAGCATTTTGCAACGGTGGTCATGCTAGAAAAGCTTACAAGCTTTTTGAGGAAATGGGTAGGAAGGGGATCGCACCTGATGTGGCGACATTCACAACTCTTATAAAGGCTTTTCTTAATGAAGGTAGTTTCGGTGCAGCTCAAGAACTTATTGATTATATGTCAAGGATGCGTCTGTTGCCTGATCGTATTTTCTATACTACAATTATTGACCACCTATGCAAAAGTGGGAAAGTTGAAAGGGCTTGTTGTATTTTTGATGACATGATAATGCAGGGAGTTAATCCTGATGTGATTTCATACAATGCCCTCATAAATGGGTTTTGCAAGTCTAACAGAGTAACTGAAGCTTTACATCTATATGAGGAAATGCAGACTAAAGGATTCTCTCCAGATGAGACAACTTACAAATTGATAATTGGAGGGCTCATAAGGGAAAAGAATCTCTCTATGGCTTGCAAAGTATGGGATCAAATGATGGAGAAGGGTTTTACTCTTGATGGATCTGTTTCTGAGACACTGATCAATGCTATCCATTCAACAGACTCTGCATGAACATGGTAATATTTTGCATTTCAAATTCCAGCACTTACATCCATGTGTCTTTTGGATGGTTTCTTCTTCAGTTATGGAAATATTTGATTTTCTCTAAGAGCAGCACATGGTATTAATGAATTTTTTGAAACTACTAGTGCAATGCAATGCCATATTTCTTGATATCCTTCTGGAAACTGTTTCCAATTATACCATACCCTTGTTTGTACCACTTTTGTAAACTTAAGAATTAGCTACTGGACACTCTAAAATAACTTGATATGAAGTAGCTAGAAAACTTGAGATTTTGCATTGCAGGTAGAAATACCAATTGACATCTAGATCACAACAGTTGCATTGGTATGACATGCAATGGAATTATCATGTGGTATTTTATTATAAGTCACTGCGTTGCAACATCATTTTCAATTGCATGGCAATGTGAGACAATTTGATCCCGTGCTTGCACATTTTCTTGAAAGTTAACTGATTTATTTAAGAGCAGCTTAATGATGGTTATTGCTTCTCTAGAATGAATTATATGTCCCTGGTTGGCAGAGCATGAGTATTAGGTTGACTCTTGCCTCAGTTCTAGCAATAAAATTTTGTCTTTTTTCACATTTTCAGGTGAACGATTTGGTAATTGGTGTTGGGTAGCCATATGGATGGATTGTTTGGTATAAGCTTTTCTTATGACCCTCTATTCTTGCCACTGTTTTGCCCTTCCTGCTGACGCTTAGAAAATAAATCTCAGGTTTGAGCTGTTCGCTTTCTTGAATATATTTATAGACGAACTGTATACTAATATACTAGCAGAAAAAAATTCTACTTTTTTTTTTTTACAAATAAGAATGCTGCTAGGAAAAAATGGTATGTTGGCTATACCATTGGGGGAAGGTCCCTATATTTGAAGATCATCAACAAGTTTCAAGTATGACTGTATGAGACCATGGTTATATCATCAATATAAGTGACAACTATCCCATCGTATGGATTTATCTGTTCATACTCTCATCTATGTGTTCATCTCACCATTCAATACCTTTCTGTGCGCTTGTGTATTGCAGGGGAAACTCTGCCATTGCTTGAAATTGGACTAGGTTCTTTCAGAAGCTGTGAGCTCAAAATTGTATGTTACATCTATCTGAAACCAATAAATACTTTCTCCTCATGATTCTCATGTTTATTTGGCAATAGGGTAATCCGACTCTTCATTTCTTTTGAAATACCTTTGTCCAACATATTTGGACATGGGTACGTGAATATGACTCTAAGGACTCTTCAAATATATGGAAAAACTTTAAGAAACATCATGCCTATGTCGTGCATATTCCTATGCCTGAGTAACATAAATTTGGCATATTTAGACTCCCCCTGCCTAGTTTTTTCATCTTCTCAGCTTCAGCTGGAATCTGTCTCACTGTCAAATCTACATTGACCATTTGTAGTTTACCTTTGGGCAATGGAAAAGCAGGCAGGTGTCACGTTTATGGTAAGTTCTTTTAACTTTATTTAATCATTACCCTTTTACTGAAAATAATGCTGCATTTCATCTCATATCATGTAGTCATACCTATGGGTCTGTCTCGGCCATACCTTGGACGAGACATTCAGTAATTCCAGCCAGCCCAAATTACTATTTAATAATTAAATTTTCTTTGAATATATTTATAAAAGCATTTTTAATATTTAAATGAATAATAAATCGGGACCTTTGGGCCAAGCCTGGTCAAAATGGGTCTTGACCTTTGGACAGGGCTTGTTGCCATGCCCAAAAACTAAGTTAATGGCTTTCAAAACAGTATACCTAGGCAAAGTTCCAAGTAGCAAGAATCAAAGCCTCCCTTTACGTAGCATCTAGTAAAGGAATCATCAAAGAGTACTTGCTTCAGTTTTTGTTTGATTCTTTGCCTTGACATGAAGTTCCCATGGAGTTGATCGTTTTTCACTAATTACCCTGCTTCATCGCTTTGTTTGACTTCATTTCTAGTATATTCATATTACCAGAATGGCTCATCGACATGTTGAAACCAACCCACATTTTATCGAAGATCCTGACGGTACAACGCCCAAGCAACGCCATTATCTACTGCTACCTCACTGCCACGTCGTAGTCTCAACCGCCGTGTCCCGCTAAGGGATCCTGAAGATCAAGACCAACATCCTCATTCTCTCGGTCCATCTCCGGCAGAGCCACATCCTGAAAGCCAACATCACCTGCCATTACATGTCTGGGTGTTGCCACCAGTACAAAATGATGATCAACGCCCTCAATCACAACCACAACCCTCATCAATTCAAGGTCTGAACCCAAAAGAAATGCTGCAACCCCAGCTTCAAGACCATCCTAACTCATCATTGATAAGACCGCAGCGTGAAATCACTGAAGGTGACCAGTGCCACGGCAAGCATCCCCAAGAGCATCCTCCTCGCTCTAGTCCTTTTCTCCCAAGGGACCCTCAAACCAACCCTATAGCATGGCCTGCGGCAACAATCTGTGCAATTCTTTTGCTGATCATGATACTAGGAGGCCTAATCGTTCTCATAGTCTATCTCATCTATCGACCACATAGTCCACTGTTTGATCTCAACGGCGCCACCTTGAATGCAGCCTCTCTCGACATGGGTTATCTGCTCAATGTTGATGTTAGTCTACTGTCTAACTTCACAAATCCAAACAAGAAGGTGAACATCGATTTTAGTCACATGTATCTTGGTCTTTACTTTGAGAATTCCCTGATTTCTACTCAATACCTAGAGCCTTTCTCAGCTGCAAAAGGTGAGACCATGTTTGCAAATATTCATATGATAACCAGTCAGGTTAAGCTTTCAATGGAAGAAACAGTTCTGTTTCGGAACCAGATCGCGAACAATCAAGTGATGTTTACAGTCAAAGGGGTGTTCCGAGCTCGGTCAAAACTCGGAGGTTTATTTAAATATTCATATTGGTTGCGTGGTTATTGTGGCATCATAGTTTCAAGCCCTCCAACAGGGGTCTTAAGGGAGAGAAAATGCAGAACCAAACACTAATGAAGAATCCATATGTAATTATTTGTTTTATTTTACTCTTTTTTGTTTCAAAACTCAATGATAATGTAATTATTTGATTCGAATGTGGGAAGTGGTCATGACTAGGCCAGTGGACATATCTTGTTGCCATGCCCAAAAATAAATTTTATGGCTTGGAAAACAGTATATCTAGGCAAAACTCCAAGTAGCAAGAATCAATGCCTCCCTTAGGTAGTTTATGTTTGATTCTTTGCCTTTACGTGAAGTTTCCATGAAGCTGATTGATCCTCTTTTGACTAACTACCCTGCATCATCCCTTTGCTTTTACATAGTTCCATTCATATATGTTCATTATTAGAATAGCTTATCGGCATATTAAAACCATCATCCTACATTTTAATCGAAGTTCCTGATGAAACAATGCCCAGCAACGTAGTATCCACCGGATGTTTGTTGCCACGACTTGGTTACAACCAGTATCGAGACCGACATCCTAGCTCATCATCATCATCATCAATAAGACCGTGTGTCGAAATCGTCGAAGGTGAACAATGCCGCAGACACCCTTGTCACCATATTACGTTGTAAGGAACCAGCCTCTCAAACCCATCCTCTAATATTGTAAACATATTTAATAATAAATAATTATTTAAATTTAACTATACCTCTTATCATTTAAAAGTACAATAAAATTAATTATAGATTTTATCTTTTAAAAACACTATATTTAAAAAAAATCAATTGATGTGTAGAAAATTTTAAAATTTGTTATTTGAATACCTTGTTATTTTATATAATATTTAGTTATATAATGTAGAAAATTAGAAAAACAATGAAAGAAAATCCAATTAATTAAACACAAACCAAACTATCTCACTGGTTAAAAGGATGAATGTCATATATATAAATCACAAGTTTGAGCATCAACAATTGTAGAGTATTTAAGCTTTTCTGCAATAACATCAACATTGTAGAGTATGAGTTTTTTCTGCAATAACATCAACTGAACAAAGGCTCTGGAATCATCAACCATGTTTTGCTTCACAATATAACCTGAAATAGAAAAGGAACACATTTACAGGCAGTTTGGTAGAGTGAAATCAATTGAATGAATGAATAACGCTTGGGCAACCAATGATAGACGGCTCTTGCAGACTTGCATAACTCCTTTATTGATCACAATTTCTTTCAATCCAGGGCATCTCTCAATTGTTAAAACCTTAAGCTTTTGGAATCCTTCTAGGAAGCATAATCGATCTCCCAAATATGCATTTAGTAGTCCGAGTTCTCCAAGATTAGGCAATGCTTGGATGTGAGGGAGAAAATCATCCCTCAATCTAGACTCGCCTAGAGACAATCGCCTGAGGCTGTTGAGCGAGTTAAACCAGTGCGGTACCTTCTCCAATTTCCCAACTAATACAAGTTTCTCAAGAGCAGGGGGAGCTGATTCAAGTGCATCCATCTTCAGTTGCTCATCTTCATTACATAACTTCACCCCTAAGGATCGAAGGTGTATCATTTTTGCAATGGCTGAGCATAAATAGTTCACATTAGTTTCCTTCACATTGGTAAGGTGAAGCCTTCTCAATTGTACCATCTTGCTGAGTTGTTTGATAAAATCGCCTCTTACTTCCACAAAGGTCAAACATGTAAGTTGCTTAGCAAACGGATGTTGGATGGAACTACCGGGCCAAACGCACCGTCAGATGCAGTGCAACCATAAGCAATAAGATATCGGAGATTTTTCAGCTTCACAATTCCTGCAGGAAGCTCTTTGATTTGAGTCTCCTTCATAACTAGAGACTGTAAATTATAAAGCTTCCCGATGGATTTCGGAAGCTCTTTCAGTTGAGTTCTTGTTAGGTTAAGATATCTCAAATTGAATAAATTCATCAGTTCATCTGGGAGTTCCTTGATTAGAATGTCTTCCAAATCCAACACTCTCATCAATTTAAAACCAGATGGCAGTCTATTGAAGGAAGATTTAGAGGTTTCATCCACAGCAAAAACAAACAATGATCGAACTCGAGATAGTGCAGTCTCGCTTGCAGCTTTCATCTCTTTCTCCTTTGCTTCAATTGACCAACGACGGATTCCACCATCTTCTACTTCTTCTTTCCCATCAGATCTGGCAGCACACTTTATGGATTTTGATATGGAAACAGAAAACTCCCGCAAAATGTCGTGCATCTTCAACGCTCTGGGCCTCCCTGATTCATTCCTCCTCTCAACTTGAAGCAAGCCTCTACAAATCAACTCGGATAGGTATCTCTCTGCAACAACTTCTGGAAGTGTTTCTTTTAGCGGTTCAACAAAGCCTTCAGCCATCCAAAGTCTAATGAGCCTTTTACGTCTAATCTCATAATCTTCTGGGAATATGCAACAATATAAGAAACATTGTTCATGTGTGTAAGACAAATCATGGTAGCTAAGCAATGAAATATACTTGAGCCTTTCAAAATATGTATCATTTTCGCTTAGCTCCTGATTTAAGTTGTCATAAACTCCATTCCATCCGGCAATCGAGCTCTTGGAAGCCATCAAACCGCCCAAGGCCACAATAGCTAATGGCAAGCCTTGACATTCTGCAACCAGCTTTCTTGCTGAAGGTTCAAGATATGGTGGGCATTGTCCACCTTTCCAACAAAAGCTTTCTTGCAAAAAGAGTCGTACTCTCTTCAAACGGTAAGTGTTTAAGAGGAAAGATGTGTTTTACAACTCCAAATTCAAAGGAAGTAATGTCATCCTTCCGTGTAGTAAGCAAGATCCGGCTTCCATTCATATTGGCAGGAAGTGCTATGCTGATATCTTGCCACAAATTAGTGCTCCAAACATCATCAACCACAATTAGATACCTCCTTGGCTGCAAGAAGTTCAGCAGTGCCTCCACCAAATCTCGATAACTCATGGAGTCTAGGTTGATCACTGGATCCACTTTTTCTTTTGCCTTGCCTAGAGCTCTTTTATGATGCATTTGAATAGTTCTGTGACAATATATTGTTGTGAGACAGTGATCCAAGCACAACAATCAAAATGTTGCTTGACAACTTGTTTGTTGAAAGCGTTGGCGACGAGAGTTGTTTTACCTAGACCGCCCATCCCAACCACAGAAATCACGATCCTTTGAAGCTCTTCATCCAACAGCCATCTCAGTAACTCATTTTTGCCTTGTCGATTCCATCAAGATCGACATCTTTAAAAAGAGAGTAGATTCACTCAGATTCTTCACCAAGTTGTTACGATGATATTCTCCTCGAATTTGCTTATCAGATTTTCTTGATTATGATCGAGAAATAGGATATCATTGGTTTCTCTCTGCAATGCTTTTGATTCTTTTTTGTAACTGGACAGCTATTCGATGCCTGAACAATAAAGTTTTGGGAAAATGAATAAGCTTCAAGAAAAACCTGGTGGGTTTACCCCTCCATTGTTGTTGCTTGTTGAAGTGGAACATGAATTCGTCGACCACGTCTTCAACTTCATAGGCAATGTCTCTAACGATTGCGACTCATTGTTTATCGGTTTCAGAGATGGGTACTACTCCTAGGCTTCTGTCAACATCCTCAAGGAAAGTTGTAATGGCCTTGAGCTCAAGCTTGATTTCATCAATTTCAGCTCCAACCTCTGCCAGCAAGTAAGCTTCAGTTTCTAATACAGAGATGAGCTTGCCTGTTATGGGATCAAGAGAGCTTGATAACTCCGTTGCTTCCAATTCCGAAGGAGGAGAATGATGTTGAAAGGCTCGACAGGTATCAGATCTTCTATATGTATATCTCTGCAAATGACATAAATAAAGTATCAGATTGATTATAATCACAAACCTTAAAAAAGCTTTTAGACTTGGCTTGAATTCTAACATGTGGTTGGGTGAGAATAAGAGCAATTATTGCAGAGATTTAGTTGAAAGTAAAAGGTTAGGTCTTTTAGGTCTTTAGTGAATGTATGGATTAACCTAGTAGGAGACATGAAAGTGATTTACCACCATTTTTATATTTGACTTGATTAAGATTGGTTATTTCTTTAATATTTTATATTTACCAAACCAAATGAGTTTGAATAAAAATTTGTTTGATTGGTTATTTCTTTTATATTTTATATTTTATATTTACCCAACTGTGCCACACTTCAAACCAAAACAAAGCAAAATAAAAAAAATCAAAAGACAAAGCAATAAAGAACAGCAACAGACACAATTCAAATTATTCATGTTTAACCTTTCGAGAAGAACAACTAGATAAATGGAGGCTTAAAACTAAACAGAACTTGAACTCGTAACTTCATCCAAAAATTAACATGTTAAGGTCAAAGGTGTGTAAATTCTCAACAGGGTGAAAGCGAGTAATTTAGATGATTACACATGTCAAAGAAGAGGAGCTACATGTTTAGCAAATGAAAACACCAGGCAAACAAGGGCAACTTTGAGTGCCAGCTTTTTACTCACCTGGCTAGGCTACTGGTGTATGTCACACCGGCAAGCAGAAGGATAAAAAATATATGCCCTACATATGTTGAAGAAGAGTTACCTTGGAGTACGATATATGCTTTGGGACGGTGTAAATGCAAGCTCTTTGTAGCTCAGCAACAAGTGCATCCATCGCTTGTGGGAACTCGACAAACAAGGATTATTTCTATATATTAATTTTTATTTTGATTAGACTGATTGATTAAAACATAATTTAATAAAGTTTGAAAAAAAGAAAAGAAAATATGCATTATAATAGAACACCAATTAAACTCAATCTTATAACAAAGTTTTGAGAGAATGATGATAGCGAATAATATTATCCAAACCAAGGAACCATATTAGCAACAAATATAGAAAGATGCCAATGTTACAGAATGATCAAAACATTATTCAAAACATAAAACATAATCCCTGGGCTTTTTCTGCAACAACTGAACAAAGACTCTGGAATTGGGTTTTATTCAAAGCATAAAACATAATCTCTGGTCTCTAGTGGGAGACATGAAATTTATTTATTTTGATCAATATGAAAGTGATTTATTAGTATAATAAAGGATAACTTACACTAATACTCATTCAATGTTTAGAGTGCTTTCACTTTGATCATCGAAATAAATAAATAAATCATTGGAGTTACTGTCGTAATAAAAACTTTCATTTTAGTTATTAAATCGTTAAATCATTAACGTTAAAAAACTCTAAAAAACCTAATGACTACCGTTATTAAAGGTGTCACTACAAGAAATTTTTATTGTTTCAACAAAATTATTTATCACTAAAAGTACTAAATTTGTCATGATATATTTATTCTGACCAATTTTATTTTGTTGCCATGTTTATTAGAACAACCTTGTCATGTAAAGTATATTGTGACAAAATTGTGTTCGTTACCGTTGTATAATATTTATTGTAACAATGAAATTTCGTTACTATAATTAATTTATCATAATAAAATATTTGTCACAATTAATTAGCTATTTCGTCACGAGAAGTACATTTTGTCATAACTAACTTGTATTTAAACATCAAATATAAAAGGTTTTTGTGACGAAAATACATAAGGCAACAAAAATTATTGTCGCATTTGCTATTTCGTCACTAAATGTAACTTACATAGACAAAATATTTGTTAAAATAAAATAATTGTTTTAACACAAAAAGTAAATTTCATCACAATTAAGTTAAATTATAACATTAATTCGTCACTAAATGTAACTTACATAGACAAAATATTTGTTAAAATAAAATAATTATTTTAACACAAAAAGTAAATTTCATCACAATTAAGTTAAATTATAACATTAAACAAAAAAAGATTTTTGTGACAAAAAGACGTATTAAACAAAATTTATTTTCTCACTACTTTTATTTCATTACTAAATATTTTTTATAACTTTTTACTGTGACTAAATAATTTTATTACAATTTGTTATTGTGAAAGAATATTATTTGTCACAATTTTTTATAATGAGAAATTAATATTCGTTATAAATTGTTATTTTGATTAAATAAATTTGTCACAATTTTTTATTTTGACAAAATATTAGGACGAAATAAGTTCGACATAACTTTTTACTTTGACTAAATTTAACGTGTTATTGTGACTAAATCATTTGTTACAATTTGTTATTGTGAAAGAATATTATTTGTCACAAATACTTACCAACTTGATTAACATCAATCATGCTCTACATCAGTTATGTTAAGCCATATTTGGCTAGCATACGGTACTTTCCATCAGGAATGTAAGGAAAATTGGCAACCACTCTGAGCTATTAAAACATTCTGAATATAATAGAAGGAACAGTAGCAGAAGGGGATATTGTAGCCCAATATTTTCATTGATATGAAAAACAAAATTTAGGTAAAAGATAAGTGCTCCAAAGCATTGTCTTATGTAAAAGACCTAAGATTCAATAGAGAAAATAGGTTTGATCCAGTTTAAACTCTGAATATGCATGAACTACTATGGAGGAAATCATCTTCAAATCAGATACTGGTTTCTTAATGTAAACCAACCTATGGGGAATCCATTATTGGCCGATTCAATAAGGGCAGCATCAACAATGTCCTTGAGATGGATGGCCTTAGGGCCTCTTTTAACAGCATTACAAGTAATAACAACTTTTGGTTGGCAGTCCACTATTCGTAGGGCAAGAGAATCTGAAGAAAATCCAGTAAATACAACTTGAAAAGGAAAAGGAGTTGGGAATTTATTCAATAATAAAAAATACAAATTAACAAAATAATCTCTTATGGTATAGTAAATTGTTTCACATTGTTCATCTTATTTATGTGCAAGAAGGGGTGCGTACCGAGTGAACTGCACCAATGCGAGGACAGGCGAGCATGGTAATCGGGTGTTCCAAAACATATGCAAATAAACAATAAGAGCATCACCCTTCTTAACTCCAATACTTTTCAGGTAGTTAGCGAGCTGCAGAGAAGACGACAATAAATCAGATGTGATTCCAATTGAAGAAGTTGTAAAATGCGGAGAATTAATATAAAGTTGAAGAAACCGGCAAACTCGGTGCAGTGGCTGGGAGTAAGTTAAATGGGCATCAAAGCCAGGTTCATTGGATTCCCAGTAAAGGGCGATTTTGTCTCCAAGCCCAACATCGATGTTTCTGTCTAAGCAATTGTAGCATATATTGGTGATCCCGCCTTTGAACCATTGGCAAAACCCCAAAAATAAAGTAATCCAATCAGCGTTGACTTTAATGCTAAACTAAATAAATCCAAAAAAAAAAAGAAAGAAAGAAAGAACAAGGATAGAGAGAAATACCTCGATCTTGATATTTTCTTTATTGACATCGAGATTCTCATAATTGACATCGAGATTCTCAGAGTAGACCTGATCTCTCCATTTTTGCTTCCAATAGAACTCCGATAAGGCAATGTCTGACCAAAATCCAGCGGGATCCTCTATTGACTTTTTGTACATCTCCAGATACTGATCTCATCTCGCCCCCCAAAGACAATTCCGTCAAACTCATCGATACAAATGCTAGTGAAGTTCAAAATAAATCCACCTGAAAAATAACCGAAAACAAAAGGATAAATCCCTTGTATACTACGAAGCATTTTAATGTAGCCCTATTTTTCACTTACCCTGACATTTTTCAAAACACCATTTTTTAAAACACCATTAGTATACTACGAAGAATGACCTTGAAACCCTAGAGAGAGAGTCTGCAGCGGCTGTTGACAGAGAAATGGAAAAGGGTTTAGCAAAAGTGAAATACTTTATTTTTCAGCATTTTAATGGGTCAATTGGGCTGATATTCTCCTTTTGGGTTTTATGGCTGATTATCTACTCGGTAAAAGTTCAACTCGGGTTAACTATACTCGAGATCTTAATGAGCTGAGTCGAATAAAATTTAACTCGATTCATAAGTTCGCGAGCAGCTCGTTAATATTTTAATAATTTTTAGTAGTTATTTTAAAAAACTATTTCATTCAAAGATTACTAGTTTACTAGTAGATAAATTTGACATAAATTTTTATTTTGGCTAAATTTATTATGTTTAGTACCTCTATTTCATCTTTTTCAAATGACTCAACAGTAATAATTATATTTTATCATTATAATCAAAATGTATAACTACGAACATATTTTTTCATAAAAAACTAAAATCATTTATTAATTAAAAAATATTTTTTTGTTATACTTTTTCTATAACAATAACTATATAACATTTTTGGCACAAAAAAAGGCAGAATGTTTATGATAATATAATTTTTCATAATGATTAAAATATGTAACTACAAAAATAATTGATTACAAAAAACTTGAATTTTATTATCTGATGTGATAATATTTTTTATAACAATAACTATAAATTATAATTACAAAACTTATCAATATAACTTTTTGAAACAAAAAAATTGGAGAAAATATTTATCACAATATATGTTATCACTATAATTAAAATTTATAATTACAAGTATAATTTGTCACAAAAATATGAATACCATTATTTTTTGTGACAATGTTTCTTGTAATAATTAAACACTTATACTTACAAAAATTGTTATTATATGATTTTTTTACGCAAACAAATATGGAGAATTTTTATGACAATATATTTTGTTACTATATAACATTTTGACACTAAAAATAGGGGAAAATGGTTTTGATAATATAATTTTTTATAATAATTAAAATATATAAGTACATAAATAATTAATTACAAAAAAACTTAAATTTTATTAGTTGATGTGATAATTTTTTTCTATAACAATAACTATAAATTATAATTATAAAAATTGTCAACTTTTGAAACAAAAAAGTGGAGAAAAATAGTTAGGACAATATATACTATCACTATAGCTAAAATTTATAACTACAAATATAATTTGTTACAAAAACGTGAATATCATTATTTTTTGTGGCAATGTTTTTGTAATAATTATTAACATTTATAGTTACAAAATTTGTCAATATATGACTTTTTGGCGCAAAAATATGGAGGAAATCTTTGTGACAATATATTTTGTCAATATAATTAAAACATATAATGACAAACACTGTTTTTTATTAAAAACTTGAATCTCATTATTTGTTGTAACAACTTTTTTTGTAACAATAATTATAACTTTAGCTACAAATCATGTCACTATATGATTTTGTTTTTGTACAAAAAATTGGAGATAATCATTTATGACTATACATTTTGTCACTATAATTAAAATATATAATCACAAACAAAATTTGTCACAACAAATCTAAATCTCATTATTTGTTGTGACAATTTTTTCTGTCATAGTTACTAAAACTTTTAGTTACAAAATTTTTCACTACATGCCTTTAATTTGGAGTAAAAAAATTGGAGGGAAACATTTGTGACAAAAATTCGTAATAAAATTTATTTTGTTACCACATGTTACACATGTTTGCTAATTGTGACAAATTATTATGAAGATTTTAACTTTTGTCATAATTGTATATCTTTTTTTAATCTAATGTGACGATTATTTATTTTGTCACCAAAAAGCTACTAATAGTGACAAAATTAATTTTGACAAAATTAAATTTGTCACAATAATAGAAATTTCTTGTAGTGTGTGTAAATGCTTAACAGGGTGAAAGCAAGTAATTTGGATGATTACACATGTCAAAGAAGAGGAGCTACATGTTTAACAAAAGAAAACACTGGGGAAACCAGGGTAAGTTTGAGTGCCAGCTTTTAACTCATCTGGGTAGGCTAACTAGTGTATGGAACATCGGCAAGCAAAATAATAAAAAAATATGCCCTACATATGTTGAAGAAGAGTTACCTTTGAGTATCATGTATGCTTTGGGACAGTGTAAAGGCAAGCTCATTGTAGCTTAGCAACAAGTGCATCCATCGCTTGTGGGAACTGGGCAAACAAGGATTATTTCTATGTTAATCATAATTTCCCATTTTAAGATCAGTGGGAAGGAAGCCCTGGATTTAGAAACAATGATGATAGCAAATAATATTTATCCAAACCAAGAAACCAATAGCAACATATATAGAAGGATGTCAATTTTACAGAATGAACAAAACACAATATTCTTTGAAACATAAAACATAAGCCCTGGGCTTTATTCTGCAACAACAGCAACTGAACAATGGCTCTGGAATCATAAATCATGCTCTGCTTCACAATAACCTGAAATAGAATGAGAATACATTTTCGGGCAGTTAGGTAGAGTAAACTGAACGAATGAATATGACTTGGGCTATTGAATATATTGCTACTTACCCTGCAAGCATTTCATCCAAGCCATCTCGTTATATTGAATATGGCTTCAGTGCCTTCTTGTCTACCTAACACGATGGCTGTGATTGTTTGTCGATCCATCCCTTTTGATTTGCATATTTTCTGAATAAGATCAGGCGACACGTTACACAAAAAAACTTTGTTTAGATCAGGTAGACTTTCCCAACCATGTGGCAGTGTCGTGAACTCGTGGCATTCAACGATATTTAGCTTTTAAAGAGCAGACATCACTCCTTTGTCGATCACAATTTCTTTCAATTGAGGGCAAGCGACAATTTTTAAAATCTTAAGATTTTGGAATCCTTCAAGGAAGTATAATCGCTCTCCTTCATATGCATTTAGTAGTTCAAGTTCTCTAAGATTAGGCAATGCTTGGATGTGAGGGAGAAAATCATCCCTCAATCTAGACCAATATAAATCCAAGCCTGTGAGGTTGTCTAGTGAGTTAAACCATTGTGGTACCTTCTCCAATTTCCCAAATAGTGCAAGTTTCTGAAGGTCAGGGGGAACTGATTTAAGAGCTTCCATCTTCACTTGCTCATCTTCATTACATGATTTAACCCTTAAGGATTGAAGCTGCATCATTTTTCCAATGGCAAAGCACAAGTTTTCCTCATCAGTTTCCTTCAAATTAATAACGTCAAGGTCTCTCACTTGAGTCAATTTGCTGAGTTGTTTGATGAAATCACCTCTTGATTCCACAGCCATCAAAACTTGTAAGTTGTCTAGTAAACAAATGTTGGACGGAACTACTGGGCCAAACCAATAGTCAAATGCGGTTGGTTTTTCTGCATTGTAACCATAAGCAACAAGATATCGAAGATTTTTCAGCTTCACAATTCCTGAAGGAAGCTCTTTTATTTGAGTCTCTTTCATAATTAGAGACTGTAAATTGTAAAGCTTGCCGATGGATTTCGGAAGCTCTTTCACTTGAGTTCTTGTCAGGTTAAGATATCTCAAATTGAATAAATCCACCAATTCATCTGGGAGTTCCTTGATTGGAATGTCTTCCAAATCCAACACTCCCATCAATTTAAAACCAGAGGGCAGTCTATTGACGGAAGATTTAGAGGTTTCATTGACGGCAAAAACAAACAATGAACAAACCCGAGATAGTGCAGTCTTCCTTGTAGCTTTCATCTCATTCCCCTTTGCTTCAATTGAACAACGACGGATTCCATCGTCTTCCACTTCTTCTTTCCCATCAGATTTGGCAACAAACTTTATGGATTTTGATATGGAAACAGAAAACTCCCGCAAAATGTCATGCATCTTAAATGCTTTGGGCCTCCCTGATGGATTCCTGCTCTCAACTTGAAGCAAGCCTCTGCAAATCAACTCAGATATGTATCTCTCTGCAACAACTTCTGGGAGTGTTTCTTTTAACGGTTCAACAAAGCCTTCAGCCATCCAAAGTCTAATGAGCCTTTTCTGTTTAATCTCATAATCTTCTGGGAATATGCAACAGTATTGGAAACATTGCTTAAGTGTGTAAGACAAATCATGGTAGCTAAGCAATGAAATATACTTGAGCCTTTCAAAATATGCATCGTTTTAGCTTAGCTCCCGATTTTAGTTGTTATAAACTCCATTCCATTCAACAATAAAACTTTTGGAAGCCATCAAACTGCCCAAGGCCACAATAGCTAATGGCAAGCCTTGACATTTTGCAACCAAATTTCTTGCTGAAGATTCAAGATATGGTGGGCATTGTCCACCTTTGCCAACAAAAGCTTTCTTGCAAAAAAGGGTCATACTCTCTTCAAACGGTAAGTGTTTAAGCGGAAAGATGTGCTTTACAACTCCAAATTCAAAAGATGCAACATCTTCCTTCCGTGTAGTAAGCAAGATTCGGCTTCCATTCATATTGGCAGGAAGTGCTATGCTGATATCTTGCCATAAATTAGTGTTCCAAACATCATCAACCACAATTAGATACCTCCTTGGCTGCAAGAAGTTCACCAGTGCCTCCACCAAATCTCGATAACTCATGGAGTCTAGGTTGATCAATGGATCCATTTTTTCTTTTGCCTTGCCGTAGAGCTCTTTGATGATGCATTTGAATGGCTCTGTGACAACATATTGTTGTGAGACAGTGATCCAGGCACGACAATCGAAATGTTGCTTAATAACTTGCCTGTTGAAAGTGTTGGCGACGAGAGTTGTTTTACCTATACCGCCCATCCCGACCACAGAAATCACGGTCCTTTGAAGCTCTTGATCCATCAGACATCCCAGTAACTCAGTTTGTGCCTTATTGATTCCAACAAGATCTTCATCTTTAAAAAATAGAGTAGATTCACTCAGATTCTTCACCCAGTTGTTATGATATTGTCCTCTCATTTGCTCATCAGATTGTCTTGATCCTGACAAAGAAACCCGGTATCGTTGATTTCTCTCTGCAATGCTTTTGATCCTCTTGTTGATGTCATGTAACTGGAGGGCTTCTCGATGCTTGACCAACAGATGCTTGGGAAAATGAATAAGCTTCAAGAAAAACCTGGAGGTTTTACCCCTCCAATGTTGTTGCTTGTTGAAGTGGTACATGAATTCGTCGACAACGTCTTCAACTTGGTAGGCAATGTCTCTCACGCTTTCGACCCTTTGTTTATCGGTTTCAGAGATGGGTACTCCTAGGCTTGTGTCAGCAGCATCCTCAAGGAAAGCTCTAATGGCCTTGAGCTCAAGCTTGATTTCATCGATTTCAGCTACAACCTCTGCCAGCAACGAGGCTTCGTTTTCTAAAACGGAAACGACCTTGCCCATTATGGGATCAAGAGAGATTGATAACTCCATTGTTTCCAATTCCAAAGGAACAGAATGGTGTTGAAATCAAAATTTTCAAGGAGAGAAAGGCTTGACAGATATCAGATTTCTTTATATATCACTACAAATGAAAAACCAGTTGCTCTTTCATTTCCATTTCTTGTATCACTAATAAATAAAAGCTAAAAGCTATGACATAAATAAAGTAGCAGATTGATTATAATCACAAACCTTAAAAGAATTTAGACACAGACAGCTTGAATTCAAACCTGTGGTTGGATAAGAAGATGAAAATTACCAATTATTGCAGAGATTTAGTTGAAAATCAACGGAGGGCCTTTTAGGACTGGATGACCACCATTGATCTTTGGTGAGAGACAGTGATTTATTTATTTATTTGATCAAATAGTGAAAGTGATTTATTAGTATAATTGAAGCTAAACTACACTAATAGTCGTTGAATTTTTAGACTGCTCTCACTTTGGACACCCAAATCGAAATTTTTTCATTAGATTTAATTTTGTAATAAAAACTTTCATTCTAATCGTTAAATCATTAATGACAATTGTCATGACATGTTGAAAAACTCTAAAAAATCTTATGACTACCATCATCAATTATGTCGTCGTTGGTTGATTTCTCCGGTTGAAAAGATTATTGAACTACTCTTATTCTTCTTTCGGTTAAAACTCATCGAAAAATCTTCAAATTTTATTTAATATAAATGTCTGACATATCGATTTTTATTTTAAATATAATAAATTATACTATATAAAAATATTCAAATACAGTATGAGCATAAGAATCTTAACCCGTATGAAATAGAATAGCTTTGTACTCGTATGTGCCTTTGGACAACTCTTTGCAAATGATTTCTCAGCTTGATTCGCTCAGAAGTAATTTCTATTGTGTTGATAATAGGACGGGGCCTGATAATCCGAATCCGGCACCATTACACTCGACAGCAAAGAACCCTGCAAAGTCCTTCCCTCCGGTTCTTTAAGGAATTTCTTGTCTTCCAAGTAGGATTGAATTTCGGCCATAATCGGCCTCAGCTCGGGATCTTCTTGGGATCTCAAGGCACTTAGAAAGTTCTCCAAGACGATGTTCAGCAATTTCATGAACTGGGATTTGAATTTTCTGTAGAGAGCAAAGCCTGCCATCTGTAGAAACAAATATATCTATCGTTAATCCAACAGAAATTTATATCTCAGTGAGCACGTTAGCTCCGTATTAGTTTTATCAGTCCTAAATTTCCAGTATGATGCAAAAAGTAAACCGAGAGAAATCTTACTTGTAGGAATGCGTTCAAAGCCACAGCAGTATAATTATTGGCAGGGAGTGCATTTAGGAATCTAGCAAGCCATGCCCAACCTTCCTTTAGACCATGAACATTTTGGCGACCCTCGGTCTGCCATTAATGAAACATCCCGGTTAGCAGGTTCGTTTTTAGTGAGTCATTATGCTACAACCATAAGAACAAAAGCATCCATATGCATTATAAGGAGTGAAACAAAACTTTCTTTTGGATATGACCATTGACGTACCTGAACCAGTGCCCCATACAGCTTCATGTAAGATTCCAGCCGTTTCAGATAGTCCTTTTTACTTTCAATCTTCCCATCGTCCTCTCGGAATCCAAGAACCTTCCAATAAGCTTCTTTGGATTCAAATACGGACTGAAATAGAAAATAACTTAGAGTTACATATAACAGTAGTGGCGGCAGCAAAAAGAACAGGGGAGAGGCACACCAGGTACAACTAGATAAATAGAGGCTTAAAACTAAACAGACCCTGAACTCAAAATTTCAGCCAAAAATTAACATGTAAAGGTCAAAGGCTTAACAGGGTGAAAGTGAATAATTTAGATGATTACACACGTCAAAAAAGTGGAGCCACATGTTTAACAAATGAAAACACTGGGGAAACAAGAGCAAGTTTGAGTGCCAGCTTTTTACTCATCTAGATAGGCTAACTATTGTATGGCACAACGGCATGCAATAGGATAAAAATATATGCCCTATATATGTTGAAAAAGAGTTACCTTGGAGTATGATATATGCTTTGGGACGGTGTAAATGCAAGCTCTTTGTAGCTCAGCAACAAGTACATCCATTGCTTGTGGGAACTGGGAAAACAAGGATTATTTCTATGTTAAAATCAAATTTTCCGACTTCAAGATCAGTGGGAAGCCTCCACCCCTCCCAAACCCAAAAACAAAAGGAACTATAAAAGATCTACCTGTGATGTTACAAGGACAATGACATACCCACAGGCAAAGGGAGAATTATCAGGGCTTTCACAGTGAGAAACTACCTGAAGTGTCAACAACAGAAATGCACGTCCATAACCATAAGGATTTTCAAATACAATCTGGAAGCAGAATAATTATTTGTTGCGGTCAAAACATTAAAGAACTACAATTGTTGATCCGCTGACAGATAATATAGATTTGAGATTCGAGACTGAATTAATTCCACACATGTCATGGCTACATTACTTGGTTATTTCATTAGAGAATTGGGCAGTTTCTCTAAGTTATGTGTATTTGGTTTCATCTTAAAAGATTATATTAGCTTTCAATGTGGAACCAGATTCGAACTTTGTCTTTTTAATGGTTAAGACTTTTTGTACATGCTCTTGAGAATGACGTATCATTTAGAGCTGAACAATTGTCATTACCTTCTTAGCAAAAGATGCAATGCTTATGGTTTGAGGGCAACCAGGATTGTTGAAAATCTTACAAGCTCACTAGCTTTTGTGCTGCAAAAGATTGTTCACATTTAGAGTTATCAATCTAACAGCATCACGGAACTTTGGACACTAAAATTCTACTTGAAACAAACACAAGTCAAGATGCAGAAAAATATAACAAACTTGACAGAGTAACTACCACAAAATTTAACACAACCAACTTACCTAACATTATCTTTAGTACCCCTTATTTGTCTTATCAACCTACCAATATGCCTTTCGGTGCTGCCAAAATCCTAAAAACACACAACATTGGTTAACCAATTGATTGATGCATACAAACAAATTGAGACGCTGAAATAAATTCAGTTCCAAATACTATAATACAAATAGAGAAAATATGTTAACAAATCTAAAGCACTTTCAATGATATAATACAAATTCGAAACTCACATATCAACATAATGACCCTGTTTTTTTTTCCTAGTAATTTTACATTGTACATTTTTTGATAAGTACGAAAACAATAATTTACCTCCCAAATTTATAATTTCAACAATATCCTAAATGTAAGTAGTTTGCAGTTCAATACCAGAAAATGAAGGAAAGTAGGATTTACAAAATATTTATAAACTTACAAGGTAACAGAACCCAAAGTTGCAGATCAAACATAGATGGAAGGAATACCTGATTTAAACTTGATCTCAGTGATTGGTTTATTTCTTCCAACTCTTTTAATTTTTGCATCCTTTCCCTCTCTAGATTTAAAGCACTCCCTGCAGACCTGAGCATATTACCTGACACGTTGACAGTTAGCCCGGATAAATTATAGACGTGAGAGACACATTGATGTACTGCCTAGAACAAAAATATTGTTTTCTAGAACAAAGAAACACACATACATCTACATTTACAAGAGGCATGCCGGTGATGAAATCTATGAAGTGCAAAAACTCAGACAAAATATGGAAAGCATAAAGAATATGTCTAGAAACTAGCAACCATTCATTAGAAACATGGATAGCAATGAAATTACAAGAACAGAGCCACAGAGGTCTTGTATGGTCCGTGTGTTTCAGTTCAGGGTTCTATAAGTATGTTCATTAGCAAATATGCACGTAAGTTTTTAAACTGGAAAAAAAACGAACATACCTGCTGATTGTGATTTATTTGTTTCATCATTTTCAGATCCCTTGGGCTGAGCAATTAAAGCTCCCGAACTAGTAGCACTGGGGCCTCCTAAAGCTGCCGTTTGTGGCACTTTAGAAGTAGTAGCTTTTGGGGTTTTAGCTGCTTCCTTTTCTGCAGCTTCTTTTGCTGCTATCCTCTCAGCTTCCAAAGCAATTCTATTGGCTTCCTCAGCTTTAAGTTTAGCCTGCACCTAATATATAAATTTCTTAATCATAAAGGAATATCCTTGAAATAAGAAATCCTATAAAATGGAAATAGTTTCTAAAAGGATTAAAGTAATGAAAATATATATGTTTCTAGAAAAACAAAATGCATCTACAAGTAAATAATATTTCTTCTAGAAAAATGGTTCACAAATGGTAGCAGAGAATAGATCTACTATCAGAAAAGCATAAGAACACCACCAAAAACTACACAAAAGAAATGCAAAATAACAAGACCATTTATCATACTGCTATTATTCTTATGTACTTATGCCATTAATGTGATCTTTAAAATATTAAGACAGGTTATAGAATTCTCCTTTTCTCTAAATCCGTCTTTACATGGATGTATGTCAATGAACCGAACCATTTAATTTGTCCTTTTTTTCTTTTTTTTCTTTGCCGCTGCAATGAAGCATAGCTCTCATATAACGAACAAAGAAAACACCAGCAAGGTGACAAGCAACATTGTTTGAAGTCTATAATAAGTAATAACCAAATCCTTTTGAAGTTCAATCAGACAAGTTTTCTTAAAAATTCAGTTACATGCATGACAACCTAGCAAAGGAGAGCTTCCACATCCTACAAACATCCAGTCAGTTCAAAAATTGAAGTTTGCACTAGTAACGTCCCTGTACCAAAAGGTGCAAGACCACAAATGCTAGAGGCCTAATAACTACATACTAGGGGGTTGTGCAAACAAACCTCTGCCTCTGCTTTGGCCTTTTCTTGGCGTAGTCTTACTTCCTGAAGAGCCTTTTCCCTTCTCTTTGCCTCCTCATGTGCTGCATCACTTCGTATTCGTCTTTCCTCAATTTGTGATTTGAATTCATGATCCCGCTGGACAGCAGTCAAGTGATTATCAAGTCCTTCTGCGCTGTAGTAATTTCATGAAATATTAAGAAATGGTTTCCAAAACAGCATGCCTATAATAGAACATCATGCAGCCTCAATAAAAAAAGGAAAAAGGCAGCAAGGGGGAGGATGGCAACAGGACCCAGTTCTGA